TGGAATGAAATGGAATTCCATTTTTATAAATAATTTATAAAAACAACTTGTAAATTACTATAAAAATAATTAAATTGCATTTTTATTTATTAATTATTATAAAACACATGTTTCAACAAATATTATTACACATAAATCATACAAAATCACGCGAACTACCGACAACCCTCGTCAAAAATCTAAATCATTTGTTTGTAAAATTTCAATGAGATCCTGTGACTTCAAATACAAACAATCCTTCAAATAGAACAATAGACTTGAATTTCGAGTCTTTGCAAATCATATTATATCATACAAACCAAACAAGATCTAAGGATATGAGATGAATAAATCATTTTACGAGTCGAACATAAGTATAGCTTAGTTACTTGTTTGATTTATTGCAATTGTTGCATGTATGTTGTGCAATGACCAAACCAAATTAGATGGGAGATAATATATACATTAATATATCACAAATTATATATTTATAATTTGATTAAGCATGTGTATGTATATAGAAGGTGGTTCAGACAAAATCTCTAAACAAATATAAAAAACTAAAAAAATATTTTATCATTCATTAGATTAGATGGTATAATGGATATGATTAAATGGTGGGTTAGAACAATATTTTTTAAATAAAAAAAACCCCAACCCCTATTTTTTATTTTAAAAAAATGGGAAAAAAAGTTTTGAGCAAAATAAATTACAAAAAAAAAAACAATTATATTTTTCTTCTTAGTTTGACATCCATATGGATACGTTTTTTCATGGTTTTCCATTTATTTAGCGTTTCCCACTGAATCTAACCTTATATATACATGGTTGGGTTCAGCGAGAAAAAAAAAATATGGTAAGAAGCGTAAGTACAGATCTCCACTCTTGGATCGATTATAATTGAATATTAACACTAATAAGGTGCACCGAGATGCACAAGATCAATTTTTTTTTTCTTTCTAAAACGCAATTTATGAGTGGACTTGAGAATAATTGATCAAGGATTTAGGCATTTTCTTATGTTTCTCACCGTAACTATACTTTCACAAGATCTTTCGCATGCGTACACACACACACAAAAATATGTGTGTGTGGGCGCTCGCATGAAGAATCGTGTGAGATGCATAGTTAAGATTAGAAGCATAAGAAGATATATAGTCTCTTGGTCACTTTTAATCTCAAGCCTACTTATGAATCGCGTTTTAATACGAGGATTGATCCGGTACATCTCATCCTAATGTACATTCAAGACTGAAGATTCCTTCTTATGTTTTTCATTTTGACTTTTTTCTCACCGAAACTTAACTTTTTATATATATATATATATATATATATTGAAATTTATAAAAATAACCGGTTTACACAACCCTTTGTCACAAAATAACCACATTTTAGAGGTTTTACCGGAATGACCACACGGATCGCCCCCGGGGGCGATCCGTACACTATGGGGGCGATCCCCCCTTAAGTCTTAAAAAAATTATCCTCAAAAGTCGATATTACTGTTCATTCTCGTTGACCGTGTTTGACCTCGCCCCCGGGGCGATCCGTACTGTACGGGGGGGCGATCCGGGTATTTTTAATTTTTGTTTTTCAGTATTTTTAATAAAACTGATACGCCATTGAAGTTGTATTTTTTTAATTTTTTTAGAACCAAATTTCATGGGTAAAGGATTAAAAATAAACCTTTATAATTATGGAGAAGCAAAAATTATTTTTATCTGTTTTGGGTTTCGTAAATCAAATATAATATCTGATTGACGAAATTTGACCTCTATTTTGTCATTTTGTGTTTTTTATTTAACAATTAAGGGGTGTTTTTAATAAAAATATTCATAAAGTGTGTCTTTTTACGTATTTAATTTTAAATTTCACGGTTTTTCGTTATAAAATAACCGGATGATAATTGTCGTATTTTTTTTATTTTTTGGTATTTTTAATAAAACTGATACGCCATTGAAGTTGTATTTTTTTAACTTTTTTAGAACCAAATTTTATGGGTAAAGGTTTAAAAATAAACCTTTATAATTATGGAGAAGCAAACATTATTTTTATCTGTTTTGGGTTTCGTAAATCAGATATAATATCTGATTGACGAAATTTGACCTCTATTTTGTCATTTTGTGTTTTTATTTAACAATTAAGGGGTGTTTTTAATAAAAATACATAAAATGTGTCTTTTTACGTATTTAATTTTAAATTTCACGGTTTTTCGTTATAAAATAACCGGATGATAATTGTGGTTACGAAAAAAAAATATTTAGTTGATTTTTGGAGAAAAAATCAGACATTATATCTGATATCGTGGTTTTCATGATATGACACTCTATGACGTCGATTTGACGCCGATTTGACGATGATTTTGTTTTATTACTTAACGTTTTATATAAATTGGAAGTGGGGGACCATTCATCCCCACCACCGACCATCCCACCGCCCGTTTTCTCTGGAAAAACCGAGCTTTGACCATCCCACCGACCATCCCGACCAATATCGAAGCCATTTTTCGACATACCGTCATAGACTACCGTATAACGACATCGGCGACCTTCCGCCGCCACCGACCACCGTGATCCGCCGCCGTCGGCCACCATCCGCCGTCGTCGGGCACCATCCGCCGCCACCGACCATCGTCATCGGCCGCCCCTCACCACCTTCCGGCGCCAACAACCACCCTCCGCCGCCAACGACCACCGTCAAGAGCCGCCGTCCACCACCCTCCTCTGCCACCAACGTACGGCCCCTTCAGATGGGCACCGTCCATTATAAGAAGTGGTCTCATGTGTCCTAGAAACGATCGAATCTGCAAATGAACGAGATTAAAAATGTAATTTCATAACATAAAATTATGACAATAATTATAAAATATAACAAAATTATTACCGAACAACCGAGTGCGACACACAACATGTCGAATCGTCCTAGTGGATCAAGAGCGATCTCTGTCACAGTCCCAGGATTTGCTAGCTTTAGATTGTGACAATAAACCGGGAGTAGGTTAAACGACGATTCCGGGGTCCCCCTCAACAGTTGCAAAGCATACACTTTTGCTCGCCATGCTTGGTGGTAGGAGATGCTAATATCGAACCGTTGGTTCACATCTTCCATGATTTCTTTACCACGGTACACTCTCCTACAATTTTTTAGACTGTCTGCCAGTATATGACCCAAAACCTTTTTTATTCGCATTACGGTGGTTTGGGTGCACTTGTGACCTTGAATATGTGTGTTCATCATGGAGCTTGCGTACCTGAAAAATACTGGTACCATCGATGGAAACAGCCATCAAACGCCAATCACAGTCTGAATCTGAGTGACACACCACCTCGTACCGGTGTTTGGAAGATTTCTTTACTTTCATTTGAAACTTTTCATGAACGCACTTTAATCCCACTGCGAGCTTAAGTGCTTCATTCGAGTCAAAGGTTTGTAGAATTTTGACATGAGATGTTGGCTGGTAGAAAATGTTTCCCTTTCTACTTTTGATAACTGGGTCCGGATAAGGTGGTGGGTCGGGCATACCCCAAAAACTATTCCTTACCGGTTTGATATCTTCATAATCGGAGTTATCGTCGTCTTCGGGTATGTTCAAAATTTCGGCAGCAACAGAAACATCTTCTGCCATATCTACCTCCCACAACGGTTTTGACAGTTCGAGAGACCGGATCGGGTACGGGTTGGGAGACTGCATCGGAGGCATGTTCAAGTCTTGAACAAAATAACTGTCAGGTTCAACGGCAACTTTTTGTTCAAGATATGAATTTCCAGCACCATCGTAGGGGAAGAAGGTGCTTCGATTTTCACCACTTCCACTGCTAAGGAAGAAAGTGCTATGATTTAGACCAGGAGCACAACCGGTAGGGAAGACTGTGCTTAGACCATATGGGTTTGCAACGCTAACGTCAGGGAAGAGTGTGCTCACAGTACCGGTGTAAAAAGTGTTTGGACCTCCCGGGTTTGCATTTGATGGATTTCCTTCATAACCTCCATTGTCGACAACATATAGTGTTCATTTCTGGTAAAGTTTGACGAATGGCGTTGTGGAGGATTATTACATCATCGTCGTCCATAAATTGATATAACGTATTCGTTTTAAAAAATAAATTGAAAGGACCACGTAAACTTAACTTTTTCGTCACACGTTTGACGACCCCAGAATACGTTATTGGCGAAGACAAACGTATTGCACATGTGGGGGAGGTTATCGGAAGGTACTCTAAAACACCATTTATATCTTGGAATAAACCGCCACTTCGAAGATACACACAAACATTATCACTTTGACGTGATTTCATGTTGTGATGGTTGATTGTGTTTAGTGGGTTAAAGATTGTGATGGTTTATTGTGTTTAATGAGTTAAGGGTTGTGAGAGTAAAATATATTAGAAGAGAAATGGAAGGAAATGTGTGAAAAATTATGAAGTAGGAGGTTGATATTTATAGTGAAATTGGTATTAGAAAAAAAATCAATTTTTTTTAACCCAGATCGCCCCCCGTACAGTACGGATCGCCCCGGAGGCGAGGTCAAACACGGTCAACGAGAATGAACAGTAATCTCGACTTTTGAGGGTAATTTTTTTTTAAGACTTAAGGGGGGATCGCCCCCATAGTGTACGGATCGCCCCCGGGGGCGATCTGTGTGGTCATTCCGGTAAAACCTCTAAAATGTGGTTATTTTGTGGCGAAGGGTTGTGTAAACGGGTTATTTTTATAAATTTCCCATATATATATATATATTATATGATGTTGTTTTCATAATTTAAGATGATGTATGATGACAATAATATTATTGTTTTAGTTGAAAATGAATTATTTACATAACACAGAAAAATCAAATATAAAGTTAGGTTTGGAAAGAGGGGTATAAATAGGAATAAAAATATTTCATAAATTAACTAATCATGAAAAACTAACATCATAACCAAAATATTGTTTTGTTGCATGTAATAAGTATAAAGATTATTCCTTACAAATAATAAATACATGTCTACGAGACTAATGGTATCGGTGTAGTTGTTGTTCCGTTTCAGAGTGGAGCTTCTTTGCGTGAACACCCATCACCAGCCTTATCATTCATATCCCTCCCACACACATTCACCCAAAAACACTCACCAACTCTCTGTTCTTGGAAAAAGGGTGCCCCATCTATCATGATTTCTCTCTCCATCTCATCTTCATATGGGGTTTCTTCATCTTCTAGATTTTCTTGTGATTAACAGCTTTTCTTTGTTGAAAAACAGAGACCAGATATAATCTGGTGGGTTACTTACAACTGTCTTTGCCATCTGATCATTCATCCCGTCGTTTATTGGGCGTTCTTGGTTTCTTTTTGGTTCCCGAACCTTCAATTTTGTCGTGATCAAGATTTTAATTTTGATCTGATAATGGGTAATGTTGGAAGTAACAGTTCCAACGGCCGGCGGAGACACGGCGGTGGTGGCAGCAGGCGGGGAAACAATCACAACCACCCTACACCGCCACCGCCTCAACAGCCACAGCCGGAGATCAACGCTAATCGATACGTATTCGCTGCGGCCACTCCTTACCCTGCCCAATACCCTAACCCTAACCCTAACGCTCCTCCGCCTCCTTATTACCAATACCCAACTGGAGCATACTACCCACCACCGCCCCCTCCTGCGGCACCGTTGCCTGCCCCATATGATCACCACCATCGCGTGCCTATGGACCCTGCCTCTCAGGCCTGGGTCGGTGGGAGGTATCCTTGTGGGCCTGTGATGCACCCTCCCACACCTTATGTTGATCATCAAAAAGCTGTGACTATCAGGAATGATGTTAATCTCAAGAAAGAAACTTTGAAGATCGAGGCTGATGAAGAAAACCCTGGAAAATTTCTTGTCACGTTCACTTATGATGCCACTGTTGCTGGCAGGTAAAATCTTTATTCATATAATACAATCATAGCCATTAAAAATTCTCTTTAATTGGACGGACCTTATGTCAACATCTTGTCATTTATTCATCCTGCAGATATTTACCATGTGTTTTGTGGTGTATGAATTGACTGGGTCTTATGGGTATGTGTTTTGGAACATGATCTTTTGTGTCTAGTAGGATAGCTCTGTAATTTGCATCAGAGTTCATACCTTCCATGATTTATCTCTTGAATACCTTCCATGATTTATCTCTTGACTTCAGGTCAAGTTTTTGACCAAAATTGATGTCTAGATAAAATTATTTGCTTCTAACAGGTGTCAAATTTTTTGTTTAAATCTTATGTTGATGGCTTAAAGTAATGGTCATCGGTTTTAAGATGACACATATCCGAGCTAGTGATGAATTCGATAATGCTTTGTTGACATGGAGAGATAAAGGGAGATCAAGAGAAGAGGATAATGTGTTTTGCATTATATTTGAAGGATGCCAAGTTCATATATATGCCATTGAACTTTAGTTTTAAGATTTCCAAGCACGATAATGATATTTTGTCCAAAGTCTCCAATATGGATTGTATTGTTGCCAATGTGCTGTTTGGTTTTTACTCATTTTACTTGAATCAAGGGAACTTGACCCTTTCACCAGTAGTCTTCTGATAACAATTTAGATGTAACATGGCAATACCCTTTTCTTTTTGAATAATATATTGCAATTATTATATTAAATATTGAAATGATCATTTGATTTCATAGCATCTTATCTAGGCAAAGGGTCATCTAATTTAGGGTTGCCTCGAAAGGAAGATTGGACTCTTATCTTGGGATGAAGCAAGCATATGAAAAAGGCTTTCACCCAGAAGGATTATCAATGTAGAAACCTGTTGGGATTCACTTTTTAGGATTTTTATAACTTCATAATGTTGGTGATTAGCTAATATGGAAACAATCAAAGTTATTTTATTACTTTAACACCCCTAATCTATCTTCTATCTCTATGAAGCATGTCTAAAAAGCTGCATAGCTTACAAGAAAAAAATCTTAACAATGATTACCAATTGGCTCTAACAATCGTGGTGCTAAATTAATGTGCCAAGACATTAAACAACGCATTTGGAATCAGAGGTAGTATATTATTATGTGATCAGTAAATGTTGCATAGGCAGTTTTCTTTTGAGAGTGGAAACGTGATATTAGTGGCTGTGGTCTCTAAGGAATATCATGGGAGTTTCAAGTAGAGACATCACGATATTTCTAGTCTACTGATATTTGTTGTAGAGTTGCTCTCAATGAACGTCTAATATTGCTTGATGTGATCCATTGTCTTCCAGAGGTAGTATATTATTATGTGATCAGTAAATGTTGCATAGGCAGTTTTCTTTTGAGAGTGGAAACGTGATATTAGTGGCTGTGGTCTCTAAGGAATATCATGGGAGTTTCAAGTAGAGACATCACGATATTTCTAGTCTACTGATATTTGTTGTAGAGTTGCTCTCAATGAACGTCTCATATTGCTTGATGTGATCCATTGTCTTCCAGAGATTTCGGGATGGGTTGAAACTTTGTAGGTTTTATATAAGATGCATGATATGTGAAGGCCAGTGGCATCTATCTTGTTGTGGTACTGCTTGGGTCCAGTTGTTTTAGCCTTGTAGGTTCCATGTATTTAATTCATTTACCATTATGTTTTGTGGGTCTTGTATATTTGCTGTAAGCCTATAAGAATGAATGATGTTGTGGGTCCTGCTCTTGAGGTGAAATGAAACTAGGACCGACAAACTGGAAAAAGGGGTATTGGCAACATAGTTAGCCTGTTTGAAAGTTTCTTTCTTTATTTGTCCTATCGTATTTCTTTTCATTTACGACATTTTTAAGTTGCTATTGACATATTTTCTGATAAATACGAATTGTAACCCCAAATCGGTTTATCAGTATGCATACTTGACCTCCTATTTTTTTGTTTTGTGTATGACATGAAAGTTTGTAGATTTTTTATGAACTTTACTTCCTAAACAAAGCCGTATCCCTTAAGCCAAATTGTAACTTAATATTCGTACTTTAGATCCAAACCTCTACAAATTCCATAAGAAACAAAGTCTTTGATATTTGAACCTACAAAATGACTCCTTTTCACCCTGAATAGGGAAACCATGATTCTTAACTTTACATACTTTAGTGTAGATGTGTTGTGGGTGAGAGCACTCATCATGAAAGAAAATAAGTCTTGATAACATTGAGATCGTGTTATATTGTGGTCCTTTTGTATCTTTTCTTTACTACATTTTATACATTTCTTCTCTATAGGACAGATGGTGTCTAAAGTACTTGGCTTTTTTTGTTTTTGTTTTTGTTTTATGTTGTTCTTTTGCAGCATTACTGTATATTTCTTTGCAAAAGAAGGGGAAGACTGTAACCTGAGCCCAACAAAAGAAGAGCTGCTTCCACCAATTAGAGTGGAGTTCCAACAAGGGTTGGGCCAGAAATTCAGACAAGCATCAGGAACTGGTATAGATCTGTCAATGTTTGAGGAGGCAGAATTAGTGAGAGTTGGTGAAATGGGCATACATCCTCTAGCAATTAAGGCAGAAGCAACTCCATGTGTATCGGAAGATGGGAGTACGACCAATTCCCAAATAACCCAGGCAGTCTTTGAGAAGGAAAAGGGTGAATATCAGGTGAAGGTGGCAAAACAGATCCTGTGGGTGAATGGGATGAGGTATGAGTTGCAGGAGATATATGGGATTGGTAATTCAGTTGATGGTGCTGATTTTGATGGGAATGATCCTGGTAAAGAATGTGTCATTTGTTTATCAGAACCTCGAGACACTACAGTCCTTCCTTGCCGTCACATGGTACCAATTTTATTTCCCCTCTCTCTCTCTCTCTTTCCACACACACACGCACACGCACACGCACACGCACACGCACACGCACACGCACACGCACACGCACACGCACACGCACACGCACATACATACATATATATATATATACATACATACATATATATATATATATATGTGTGTGTGTGTGTGTATACCGAGTGATATTTGTTCAAGTTTGCAATTTGAAGATTAAAAAGAGTTGAAAGGTTTAGAAAATGACAAAAAGTGGTTTGGTTTGGATTCAGTGCATGTGCAGCGGATGTGCTAAAGTGTTGAGATTCCAGACAAACAGGTGTCCGATATGCAGGCAGCCGGTGGAGAGGCTTTTGGAGATCAAGGTCAGCAATGGAGGTGAAGAATGATATTTGTTAGTATGATGATGATGTTGTAATGTTGTTTTCCTTTTTGTATGATGATGTCAGTTTGAGTAGTGATTGTGGTTCAAGTTTTGTATCACACATTCCTCCTATTTAACAAACTACAACCCCACAGATTTCTCCAACTTATATTTTTCTTTTCGGTTTTGTTTTTGTCATGATGCATCTTGATAATAATAAGAATTGATCGATCGGTCAACGTCCCTCGTATATGTATTTTTATGTAGTTTGTCTGGTATAAATTCAGCTTATGTTATATCAGGAATTTGTTAAACACTTGATTGTCTGATTATTATATTTTCAAAATGAATACAGGATTGTGGATTGGGTTATATTTTGATGAGTATAGAAATGGGGGAATCCCATATTATTGTATACTAGAAACGTACTCGCGCAATGCAGCGAGATACATCGTGATTTTAATATTTCATTTTATTATTTATMTCAGTCGATATTATAATATGGCTTTATGTGATTTTGAGAAAGCGATGATGTTTTTATTTTTGAATAAAATATATGTTTGAAGATATCATAAAAATTTGACAA